AACACCGTTTTTTCTTCCAGGCTACTCTCAATACTTCCTAGCCACCAAAGGTGTGGGGTTTGGTCTCATACCAAGCGATTCTCAGTGGACACCCACTGGGTGTCCTACAATTCAGCTGAATTCTCACACTGTTTGGAGTTAGCATGCAGCCCGCAGGGTGTGCACACACCCCTCAGTCCCACAAGACTGCCCCCCGCTTCAGATGCCATTGCTTCAGAAATTGTCAGCTGTGCTTCTAACCGACCAGATTTAAATTGGGAGTTCCCACCGGCCCCTTCTCAGGTCTGGAGATTTGCTAGAACAGCTCACAGAACTCAGAAAAACAGATGACCAGCTTGTGATAAAAGGATACAACTCAGAAGCAGCCAGATGGAAAAGATGCCTGGGACCAGGTGTGGGAGGGGCGCAGAGCCCCCATGCCCTCCCAGTACTTCTATGTGTTTAACCTGAAAGCTCCTCAGACTCTATCCTTTGGGGTTTGGGTTTTTATGAAGGCTTCATTTATAGGAATGATTGATGAAATCATGCTTCATTTATAGGCATGATTGATTAAATCGGTCATTGGTGATGAAGTCAATCTCCAGTCCCTCTGCCTTCTGTGGAGGTGGATAGTGGGCATGAGGCTGAAAGTCCCAACCCTCTAATCACTGGTTTGTTCCCCTGGCAACCAGCTCCCATCCTGAGGCTATCCAGGAGCCTCCAGTACCAGTCATCTCATTAGAATACAAAAAGTCGCTCATTATTTTGGGGATTCCAAGGGTTTCAGGAACTTGGTGCCAAGAAAAAGGAGAAATCAAATATGTATTTCTCATTATGCCACACCTAGGTTCAGAATCCTGGCTATGCCAATTATCAGGTAAGTGACCTCAGATAAACTACCTAGTCTCTCTGAGCCTTGGTTTCTCATTGTAAGATTTCATTGACGACATACATAACGTGTTATGTAGGCTGTGCCTAGCAGTTGACATAAAGAAGGTGGATGAAAAAAGTGAGCCCCACTTTTCCTCCTCCTCCAGCTCAGAGCAGTCTGGCACATCCCACAGCCACCCTACCAGTTAGCAAAGCTCCTTGGTGCTGTGGGGGCTCATGCTTGGTGTCAGAAAAGGCAGAGATAATGGTGCGGGATCTGGAGCCTGCAGTCCTCCACTGTAGAGTGGGGTGACCATGATCAAGGTACTTGGTTTCTCTACACCTTGGCTTCCTTGTCTGTAAAACAGCATGGTTACAATGCCTGCCTCATGGAGTTAATGAGCTAATGCGTGTAAACACTTCGAAAGATGGCTGGCACACAAATGCCGAGTAAACTTCAGTTAATACCATGACCATCACCACCACAGTCACCCCAGGTCTGACTTAGTGGGGCATGCAAAGTGCCCCTCATCTCTCTTTTGCAGGTGCCTCTTTTCTTGGGAGGCACCCTGGAGCTCAGTCTTTTCTTTGTCATCCTCTCTAGGGACAAGACATTGATCTCTGGGATGAATGGGAGAGGCCTTTACTATTGACACAGCCACAGTAAACAATGCATAAACTTTGGTGGGGCAAAGAAGGGTGTGGGCCTGTTGGGTGAGGCAGGTGCCAGCAAGAGATGCTGAGTACCCCGCCCCTCTTTCCTTACCCCTGTGCTGGACAAAGAGCCACCTGGAGTCAGACTTTCCACTTTCAAAGAATTCATGGTCTACAGCGAGCTTTACCTGGAAATGGACATGCATCCTTTGGGGTTTGGAAGTGGGGTGAAGAATCTCTAGGAAAGCTCAAGTGGTCTGAAATCATGTGTTCCATAGAGCCTCCCCTTTTTAAAAAATATATTCCCAGAGGTTCTTATTTGAGAACTCTTCTTTTTTCTTTTTCTTTTATTTTTTTATTCTGAGATGGAGTCTCACTCTGTCACCAAGGCTGGAGTGCAGTGGCACGATCCTGACTCACTGCAACCTCCGCTTCTCAGGTTCAAGTGATTCTCCTGCTTCAACCTCCTGAGTAGCTGGGATTAGGGGCATGTGCCACCATATCAGGCTAATTGTTTAATTTTTAATAGAGATGGAGTTTTGCCATGTTGGCCAGCCTGGTCTCGAACTCCCGACCTCAAGTGATCTACCCGCCTTGGCCTCCCAAATACTGGGATTACAGTATGAGCCACTGCACCCAGCTAGCCTTTCTTTTTCTAAAGCAAGTAAAGCTCTACCAAACCACAACTGGCTGGGATGCACAGAAAGTAGTGAGCAAGATTGGCAGGAGGCAGGGGTAGAAAGTTGGGGCCGTTTCCCTAGAGAGATCTGGCATGTATCAACCCAGCTGTACACAGTGTTTGCCAGTGTCTGAGTTCTGGGTTCTCTCTGTTGGCTATTCCGGGGCAGGAATGCTCATTTTCCCCCTGCTCCCACTGTCCTTCCTGTCCTCCCTTACTTCTTTCCTTCATTCCACAGATCCTTATGGATTGGATGTCTCAGTTTCCCCAAATTTGTGTAAAAACCTACTAATTTATTATCAATGGATCTTTGTTAAAGATCCATTGACAAACTGATATCACTAGTAAATATTCATTATCAATGAATATTTGTTAAATGAATGAACAAGTGGATGTTTGAATGAATGAATTTTAGCACCCTGACCTGGGAGTAAGCTCATCTCTTGAGCCTCTCTTCAATGGCAGGATGGCTCACCATCCCAGGGAGTCTAATTTTACTGGATAGGGTACCTGTGGTGACCCTCTTGCCCCATCTCCAGTGCTCTAGAGTGGGAGCCCCTCCCCATTCTGGCCCTGGCCCCCATCACCCTTCTCCCTTTGTCCATGTAGGGACCCCACTCTAGACAAATTACATTATTCCTTCTCTTGCCCCTTTGGGCCTCTGCTTCCCACTGTCTAGAATGCAGGCTGCTCTATGGGCACCAGACAAAATTGTCTCTCCTTTCAAGGCCCAGCATTTTCAATGTAACTTTTCCTGATCCCTACAACTGAAAGTGACTTTTTTTTCTCGCCTGCATCTCTCATACACCTTTCCTGGATTTACCCCATTCTGTCATTCATGATCACTTCTGCTTGTCTTATCCACTGCCGAAGCTCCTGGAGAGTTACAAGCACATTTCATACACGTCTACACTCCCAGCATTGTGCCTCACACAATGTCCTATGAATAACAGTCGTTCTAATATTTTTATCAAATAAATACTTTATATTCACTTTTCCTTGTAGACTAAATTGTGAGCTGTTGTCATGATAGTCATCTCATGACATCAGTCTTTGTTTGTTTATTTATTCCTTCATTGATTTATTTATCTAATTATCCTAATACAGTCAAGCAGTGTGCTAGGCATCAGAATATAAAGATCAAGAGGGGGCTGGATACAGTGGCTCATGCCTGTGATCCCAGCACTCTGGGAGGCCAAGGTGTGATTTCTTGAGCCCAGGAGTTCGAGGCCAGCTTGGGCAACATGACAAAACCCTGTCTCTACAAAAAATACAGAAGTTAGCTGGGTGTGGTGGCTTGCGCCTGTAGTCGGGAGGCTGAGATGGGAGAATCTCTTGAGCCCAGGAGGCAGAAGTTGCAGTAAGCCGAGACCACACCACTGCATTCCAGCCTGGGGCAACAGAGCCAGACCCTGACTCAAAAATAAAACAGAATAAAAGATTAAGAAGGCATGTTCTGATGCAGAGAGGTGGACACATATAAAAAAGAGCCGTGTCTGGCACTGGAATGCACCCTCACACTCTCATCAGAGCTGTGGCGTCTTTGCAAAGACAGAGACCAGTTTGGTTTGCAGAGGAAGGGGTGATGTAACCTCTCAAACAAAACTCATAGGAAGATTTCCCAAAAAGTTGATATCAGCGAATGCCTTGTCCCTTGTGGCATCTCTCATAAACCCTTCTCAGTTTAGCTCCATCATCTCATAGTCACAGGAGTAGAAATCAGGAGGGTGGATTTTGAGATGTTTGTCCTCAGGTCCTATCTAGGTATTTCACAGCCTTTGACCTGCTCCTATAAACAGCTCTTGCCAGTGAGCATTTGCAAGTCTCTTTTGGGTCAAGGATTCCCCAATCTGTAGGCCTAGAAACACTACTCAGAGTCTCCGCCAGCCTCCCCAGCCTCAGAGGTCCAGGCCAACATCGAGGCACTACAAATACAGAGAAGGTAAAGGATGCAAAAGCAAACACTTGCTGGATGCTGGAGAGGCAAAACGTGCTTGGTGTCTGGAAACATACAAAGGGACAACTAAGAAGCCAAACCAGGGTGATGAATGTAAGAGAAGTGTCTTCCTTTCAGTTTTTTTTTTTTTTTTTTTGAGACAGAGTTTTGCTCTTGCCACCCAGGCTAGAGTGCAATGGCACGGCCTTGGCTCACTACAACCTCCACCTCCCCAATTCAAGTGATTACAGGCGTCTGCAACCACACCCAGCTAAGTTTTTGTATTTTAATAGAGACAGGGTTTCACCATGTTGACCAGGCTGGTCTTGAACTCCTGACCTCAGGTGATCTGCCAGACTCAGCCACCCAAAGTGCTGGGATTACAAGTGTGAGGCACCGTGCCCAGCCCCTCCCTTATGTTCTGTTGGAGTCCCTATCCACAAAGCAATGAGAAATGCTGAAAGCAGACAGAACGTAGGTGCTGTGGTGACCTAGTTCTCCTCATTGATCAGATGGAGCTCCGCTGAACATTTGGCCCGTTCCTTAAGGGTGCGTGACAGTTCGGCAGACGGAGGGCGGAAAGACACTCTCAGCTGTGGGAACAGGATGCACAGAGGTACAGCTGTCTGAAAGGGCAGAGCATTTTCTATAATCTTGCATCCTGGGAGCTGGCATAACTGAGTCTTGAAAGATTGACTGGGAATAGGTTGTGACCTTCTTGCTATGCAAGGTCAAGGTCTTTGGATTTTAATGTGATTCTAGGAATTTGGCTCTGCCCTTGACAAGCCTCACCCCGCAGCCTGTCTTTGGTAACTTACACCGTTCCCCCACACCACTGTGCCTTACCTCCTAGGACTTCAGGTTCTCCTCTCTGTCTCACAGCTCTAGAACTCCAGAGTATCAACTGGCAGACGGCCTTCAACCGGCAAGCGCATCACACAGACAAGTTCTCCAGCCAGGAGCTCATCTTGCGGAGAGGCCAAAACTTCCAGGTCTTAATGACCATGAACAAAGGCCTTGGCTCTAGAGAAAGACTGGAGTTCATTGTCTCCACAGGTACCTGCGTGTTCCTCTCCCTGCCCAAACACACACATACCTGCATAACCCTCGTGCATTCAAGGAGTGATGGAGGCCACACTGGGACCACTGGGCCCTGGGGTCTAGCCCTGCTCTGTCATTGATTCAGTGTGGCCTTGGGCAAGTTGCTGTCCATCTCTGAGCCTGAGAGTCATCATCCTCAAATCAAGAGGGATCTGGCCTGTATGTTTGCTCTGGTTACTTCCAGTGCTAGAACATGGTGCTGCGTTGGCTCACGTCCCCAGGAGGGGGGCTGTTTTGGAGCCTGGTCTCTCCACAGTCTGACCAGTGCTTGTCAGTTTCTCTCAACTTCTGTCTTCTTTGACAGGGCCTTACCCCTCAGAGTCGGCCATGACGAAGGCCGTGTTTCCACTCTCCAATGGCAGTAGCGGAGGCTGGAGTGCAGTGCTCCAGGCCAGCAACGGCAATACTGTGACCATCAACATCTCCAGTCCCGCCAGCGCACCCATAGGACGGTACACAATGGCCCTCCAGATCTCCTCCCAGGGCGGTGTCTCCTCTGTGAACCTTGGGAAGTTCATACTGCTTTTTAATCCCTGGCTGAACGGTAGGTGTCTAACCACGCACACTCTCAGCCCTGGCCTAAGCTAGAAAAGAGAAAGGAGGTGGGGGAAATGATCTTCACAGGCTCAAGTTTGGTTAGGAAAAGTCCATGGGCTGTGGAAAGGGCACGAAGCTAGAAATGAGGAGCTCTGACATGTAAGCAGCTGTCTGGGTCTGGGCAGTCCCTCAATCTCTCCAAGTCCCAAAGTCCTCACCATTAAATGGACATCCTGCTGTTTCTTCTGGGAATATTGTGGAGGTCACACTGAGCTTTTACAAACTGCATAGCATGGTTCCTTCTAAGGGACAATACCACAGTATAATTCCGCAGCATGGAGATAGCTTCCTGCCAGAAAGAGCAGGTGTCTCATCCTTGCTGTCTCATTTTCAGACCCCCGGGTCATCCTAGCTTCTCTTTCCAGCTCATAGTTCCCACAATTGGAGTTGGAAGAATTATAGCCCAAGGGTCAGGTGGGGAGGGCTAATGGTGGGCCTTGCTCCAAACCCCAGGCCAGTTCAGGAGCGGTAGGAGAGGAGGAAGTATCCATACAGTCCTCCTAGGATTCTAGTGCCTGGTGTCTGCTTTTTGTATCAAACAGTGGATAGTGTCTTTATGGGTAACCATGCTGAGAGAGAAGAGTATGTTCAGGAAGATGCCGGCATCATCTATGTGGGAAGCACAAACCGAATTGGCATGATTGGCTGGAACTTTGGACAGGTAAAAGGGTCATAAAAGGCTGAGGGTAATGTCCCTGTTACCCAAGAAGCTCAGCATCTTGCCCCACAGATCAATGGGAAGTCCCACATCGGTCCATCTGCCTGCCCTTCGATTTGTTCTTGCCTTCAGAAGACTTTTATTGACCACCTATTATGTGCCAGACCCTGGGATCCACACTAAGGATACAGAAGATAAGACAGATCCATTGTTGAGGGGGTCGCAATCTAGTGAGCAAGACAGAACACACACGTAACTCAATGGATGTGATGAAGCAGTATTGGTGCTATGGTGCACAAATAAATATAAGGCCCACTAGAGACACTGGGGACAGTCATGTAGCTTCTGTTTTTCATTCCATGGAAAAATGTGGTGAAACGTCCTTAGTGTGTTCATTCAGCCTCTCCAAGCCATAGCCACTTGGTTCTTTATTACAGTGATTCCCATTTGAGTCTACAGAGTTCTCAGAGTTAGTCAGTTTAGACAACTTTCAGGGATGCCCTCCATCTTTTATTTTATCCACCAGACAAAGGCATTAGAATAAAGCACCTCGGGCTAGGTGCCTTGGATATCAGAAAGATGTACGCTTGGACCATCTGCAGAACCTGTCTGTGGTCAACCAGAGAAAATCGGCCATCTCCTTTATTGGGAGGAAGGAAAAAAGAAGGATAGGGCACAGAGTGCACCTATGAGTGGAAGACAGTCCAGTTTTTTGATGGCATGGTCAGGGAGGGCCTCACTCAGGGAGGAGCCTTTGATCAGGAACCTGAAGAAGACAAGGGCGCCAGATGGAGATCTTGGGAAAGAGCATCAGGCAGAAGGAAAAGCAAATGCAAAGACCTAAGGCAAGAGGAGCCCGGCCTTCTCAGTTTGAGAAGCAATGACTTCGATTACGCCTTATTTTGTGAAAATCACTTCAAATAGATATACTTTAGCAAGAGATTTTATTTGTATACTAGTTCTCCAGAAGTCTCAATAACATGCCCAAAATCGTAGGCAGGCCGGGTGTGGTGGCTCACACCTATAATCTCAGCACTTTGGGGGGCTGAGGTGGGTGGATCACCTGAGGTCAGGAGTTCAAGACCAGCCTGGCCAATATGGTGAAACCCTGTCTCTACTAAAAATACAAAAATTAGCCAGGAGTGATGGCACGTGCCTGTTATCCCAGCTACTCGGGAAGCTGAGGCAGGAAAATCACTTGAACCCAGGAGGCGGAGGTCGCAATGAGCCTAGATGGCCTGGGCTCATTTCTGTCCCAAAAAAAAAAAAAAAAAAGGGATTGTAGGCAGAGCTAGGAGGAAACTCTAAGATGAGTTTGGCCTGATTATACAGATGGAGAAATCGAGGGAAGACAGGCTAAACGACTCGCTCCTGAGGTTGTGGCAGCCGGGGAGTCGGCTAGCCCTGGCTGCGTCCCATGCATTCACTTTAGGAAGAGTCTGGCAAGGTCATATGCTTTTTTCTTTCTTATAATTTTTAAATTTATTATCCTTTTCTCTCTCTCTCTCTCTCTCTTATTTCAAAAGCTGTCTTTGAGGAAGCACACAGGGTCCTGTGCATAGTGAGTGCTCTGGATGAGTTTGCAGGGTTGAGGGCTGGGCGTGGTGACTATCCTCAGTTGCTCTAGGTTCCAGAGGCCACAGAGTCAAAGGATCTGACTGTTCTGTGGTTCTCACCAGTGTAGTTTCATTCTTGAGTCAATTCTTCTTGTCATTTCTTTCACTGTAATATATGGTCTCGTTCTAAACAGTTTGAAGAAGACATTCTGAGCATCTGCCTCTCAATCTTGGATAGGAGTCTGAATTACCGCCGTGACGCTGCTACTGACGTGGCCCACAGAAATGACCCCAAATACGTTGGCCGGGTGCTAAGTGCCATGGTGAGTAACATGAAAATGATCACAGCTAGTTGTCATCATGTATTGAACACCACCTATGGGTTAGGCATGCACACTCTTTTCAGATGTCATCTCATTCAAAGCCTCACCAATTACAGCGGGTGATTAGAACCATCCACATCTTACCAACTTTGAGCATGAGGCCCCTCTAAGTTATAGGGCTTGCCTGAGGCACACAGTGAGTACATGGCAGAGGCAGAGCCAGATGCAGGTCCAGCTGGCTTCAAAGCCCTTTCCACATTGTGAAGCCTTTCTCAGAGGAAAAGGGAACTTGTTCTTTGGGTGCCTGCCAAAGATGGGAGGAGGGGAGGATGCAAAACTAGGCCTCTGCTCCATCACTGAGCCTCCTGGGAAAGGAAGCAAGTCCCCTATTGAACTGGAGGTGGTGACCTCCTTTGCCTAACCCATCTCTTCCACAGCCCAGAGCACAGCCCAGAGTGTCAGATGGTAGGCTGCCTCATTCATGATCTAGATGGGGATACAAACTCGGAGAGCTGAAATGGCTTGCTCAAGGCACAAGGCATGCAAGTCAGACCAGAACAAGGCCTCCATACAAAAGGCCTGTGCCCCTACAACACACACACACACACTCTCACACATTCTCACACACACACTCACACACACATAGTCATGCACACACACTCTCTCTCTCACACACACACAGTCTCTCTCACACATACACACACACAGACACACCCAAGCTATATCCCCTAGGAGGAATCTGTGGTTCTGCACTCATTGTGTAGAGAATGTCTCCATCCAGGCTGGGCATAGTGGTTCATGCCTCCAATCCCAGCGCTTTGGGAGATGGAGGCGGGAAGATGGCTTGAGCCCAGGAGTTTGCCGCCAGCCCAGGAAGCATAGTGAAACCTCATTTCTACAGAAATTTTTTTTTAAAAACTAGCCAGGCATAGGCAGACACAGTGGTTCACACCAGTAATCCCAGCACTTTGGGGGGGTGGATGACTTAAGCCCAGGAGTTCGAGACCAGCCTGGACAACATAGCAAAACTCTGTCTCTATGAAAACAAAAACAAAAAAAGCAGGGCATGGTAGTATGTGCCTGTAGTCCCAGCTACCTGGGAGGCTGAGGTGAAAGGATCACTTGAGCCCAGGAGGTAGAGGTTGTGGTGAGCCAAGATCATGCCACTGTGCTCCAGCCTGGGTGACAGAGTGAGACCCTATCTCAAATAAACAAACAAAAATTAGCCAAGCATGGTGGCACATACCTGTAGTCCCAGCTACTCAGAAGGCTGAGGCAGGAGGACTGCTTGAGCCCAGGAGCTTGCGGTTACAGTCAGCTGTGATGGCACCACTGCACTCAGGCCTGGGTTATAGAGGAAGAGCCTGTTTCCAAAAATAGTCATGCAAAATACCTAAACCTAGATCAACCTGCACAAAAGTTGTAAGTTAAAAAGCTGAAAGTCATGATCAGGCACAGTGGTTCACACCTGTAATCCCAGGACTTTGGGTGGCTGAGGCAGGGGATCACTTGAGCCCAGGAGTTTGAGATCAGCCTGGACAACATAGTGAGACCTCATCCACACACACACACACACACACACACACACGCACACTCACACACACACACACAGGAGCCAGGCATTGTGGCACATGCCTGTAATCCCAGCTACTTGGGAGGCTGAGGTGGGAGGATCACATGAGCCCATGAGTTACAGGCTGCAGTGAGCTATGATTGCACCACTGCACTCCAACCTGGGTGACAGAGCAAGAGCCTGTCTCAAAAAAAAAAAAAAAATGGCTAAAAGTCAAAGTGTCAGAGTTCTTTAACCCTCTTAAACTAAATAATTCCCAGATATGCTGTAACCTTTGTTTATTTATTTATGTGGTTCATGGTTTAGGCATTTCTTGATCTCTTGACTTTTGAGCTGGATATGTCCATGCTAATGAGCTAGTTACTTGGTTAGAAATGTGAATAACTTCTCAGCTGCATGATAAAAGTCTGGTGTGCATCTGAGAGGGCTTTTGGAAAGAGCTGAGTCTTAGACCGAACCTCGAAGGAAAGGGGTAAGGAAGGCCCGGGGAACTCAGAGGCTCTAAGGAGATGAATGAGGACCAGAGTAGCCGAGGGAGGGTATGGAGAGGAAGCGAGCCTGGAGCAGAACCTTGAAACCAAATGACCTGGAAGAGCTGGGATTAAAGCCCTGGTCCCTTAGAAAGCTGAGCCTCTTTGGCCCCGGAGAGAGTGGGTGAGGCCAGCGGCTCCTGCGGCCGCTGACTCACTCGCACCCCAGGGCCAAACCACTTTATCGTGGAGCCAATTTCCTCAGCTGCACCTCCCTGATGCTCTTTTCAGACCTCCCAGTTGGGCTGGGCCATGAGCTAATTATGGCCTGTGCAGAGCTTTGAAATGCTCATCTTTCCACCAGAGATGACGGTGCTGATTGCTACTTTGAAGGCTGGAGCACCAGTGACTCAGGAGACGGGGAAGGGCTGCACAACCTTCCATCTTGAAGGAGGCCCTGTCTTGCCTGACTCTGCCATGACAGCCCAGGCCCTCCCGGAAGGGGTGCAGAACTCATCACTGCACTGAGGGGCTGGCAAGGCTGGGCATAGCCTGTCCTGGGCAAGGATTCTTCTGTGTCCAGACTGTCCATTCTCATAGGCCTTGCCACTTACAGGCACTCCAAGGAGAGGGGGTGGGACTCACAGGCTGGAGGAGCCATCAGAGATCCTGGTCCAGCCTCTCACTCCACAGTTGAGATAAATGACTGCAATGAGAGGCTGGACCAGGATCCGTTTCATCGACCCTGACCCTTGACTGCGGAAGACACCTCAGAAGGCCTTTGTTCTAACTTTCCCTTGAAAATTCCCTTCCCTGTTGGAAGGTGAAGAACTAAGGCCCAGAGAGGTGAATGGACCTTTGTGCAATCATCAAGTTGGCAAGTGTCCAGGTGGGGCTTCTAACCTCAGTGTCTCCTCTCTTTCTCTTTTAACTTTTATTATGGAAAAGTGCAGACCTATATAAAAGTAGAGAGAAGAGCATAATGAACTCCTGTGTACCCATCATAAGCTTCAACAATTACCTCTTCAGGGCCAGTGTCATTTCATCTCCGGCCCTCTCTTTCACAGATGATTTGAGAAATCTTAGACAGTACACATTTGTCATCATTTCACCTGTAAATATTTCCAGGTATGTCCCTAAAAGACAATGGAACTCAAGCCTCTTGATTTCTCATCCCGCGATCTTTTCAGGCTGCCTCTTGGTTGTGTCACTTAGACTAGAACCGCGCCTTAAACTGAATGAATGAATGAATGAATGAATGGAGTAAACTAACAAATGAACAAATAGCTGAAGGAATGAAAGAAAAGAAATTCTCTATCTTTATTCTTTCCAAGAAGAAGTTAGTTGCTGAAGTTCTAAAGTGATCTTTTTGGCCGTGGGCAGTGGCTCACACTTGTAATCCCAGTACTTTGGAAGCTGATGTGGGCGGATCACTTGCAGTCAGCCTGACTAACATGGTGAAACTCTGTCTCTACCAAAAATACAAAAACTAGCTGGGCATGGTGGCGCACGCCTGTAATCCCAGTTACTCTGGAGGCTGAACCAGGAGAATTGTTTGAACCCAGGAGGCGGAGGTTGCAGTGAGCCGAGATCACGCCACTGGACTCCAGTCTGGGTGACAGAGAAAGACCCCATATCAAAAACTAACAAAAAATAAATAAATAAAGTGATCCTTTTGTAAGACAATACACCAAAAAAAAGTTTCAAACCATGGACTTCCAGGCATACATATAACAGTGATAGCCATTAGTTCCTGCCAGAAGTCCTCTGCAAGCTGGATTTGTGCCCCTGCCTTGCCACAGACAAGCTGCACTGTCTGTTTCCCATGTCGGCCTGCTGCACAGGAGTGATGTATGGATCAAGGACAGTCAAACACAGCCTGTCTGGGAAAGCACCTCTAAACTCGTAAACCACTCCATACCCGTAGGGAATAAGTGTTACAATGATCTTCCCCAAGTCACCTAGAAAGACAAAGAAAAGTTCAATCACAGTCCTTGCCTTCTTTCCTCATCTCCCCACCTGGTCCTCTGAATTCTATATGTCACTCTTCCTAGGAAAGGCATTAGCGCTGACTCATTTGGGGGGGGTGGTTTCTGCGCAGATCAATAGCAACGATGACAATGGTGTGCTTGCTGGAAATTGGAGCGGCAATTACACGGGTGGCCGGGACCCCAGGAACTGGAACGGCAGCGTGGAGATCCTCAAGGATTGGAAAAAATCTGGCTTCAGGCCAGTCCGATATGCCCAGTGCTGGGTCTTTGCTGGGACCCTCAACACAGGTACTTTGGGTATGGCGTGCCTTGGCTGGGTCAGTGGGTGGCAGTGGGGTATACCAAGGTACCACCTCCACCACCTGAGTCCTCACGTACACCTTGACTTGCAGCACTGAGGTCTTTGGGGATTCCTTCCCGGGTGATCACCAACTTCAACTCAGCTCATGACACAGACCGAAATCTCAGTGTGGACGTGTACTACGACCCTATGGGAAACCCCCTGGACAAGGGGAGTGATAGCGTATGGTAAGTATCTCACCTTTTCCCTGAACCTCGAGCACCACATTTGAGTGGCTTCTCGCTCTCACCATTCTCCTGGGACCCAGGTCCAAACAGGAGTTGCAAGGCAAGTAACATGTCAGCAAAGGGCATAGAATGGAAATGATGGCAACACTGATTACACACTTAGCAGCACCTGAGGCACCTCTCCTCGGTGCTCTGCAGTCTGCTAGTCCTATCTTGCTCCCGTCAGAAAAAGGGTCTCATCCTAGTGAAAGACAGGGCTCCTAAATTCACTCTAAATTCATGGGATCCATTAGACCTTATATGACTTTAGAAGATAAAAGTTGAAACTGTCACTTTTCCAGTAAGAAATATACATTTGTTTCATTTCAGATAATCCAAATTATTTATAAACTTTCTCTTTTTTTATTATACTTTAAGTTCTGGGGTACATGTGCAGAACGTGCAGGTTTGTTACACAGGTATACATGTGCCATGGTGGTTTGCTGCATCCATCACCCCGTCATCTACACTAGGTATTTCTCCTAATGCTATCCCTCCCCTATCTTTCCCCAACCCCTGCTCTCCCTCCCCAGCCCTCCACCCCCACGATAGACCCCAGTGTGTGATGTTCCCCTCCCTGTGTCCACGTGTTCTCATTGTTCAACACCCACTTATGATTGAGAGCATGTGGTGTTTGGTTTCCTGTTCGTGTGTCAGTTTGCTGAGAATGATAGTTTCCAGATTCATCCATGTCCCTGCAAAGGACATGAACTCATCCTTTTTTATGGCTGTATAGTATTCCATGGTGTATGTGTGCCACATTTTCTTTATCCAGTCTATCACTGATGGGCATTTGGGTTGGTTCGAGGTCTTTGCTATTGTGAACTGTGCCACAATAAACATACATGTGCATGTATCTTTATAATAGAATGATTTATAATTCTTTGGGTATATATCCAGTAATGAGATTGCTGGGTCAAATGGTATTTCTAGTTCTAGGTCCTTGAGGAATCACCACACTGTCTTCCACAATGGTTGAACTAATTTGCACTCCCACCAACAGTGTAAAAGTGTTCCTATTTCTCCGCATCCTCTCCAGCATCTGTTGTCTCCTGATTTTTTAATGATCTCCATTCTAACTGGTGTGAGGTGGTATCTCAATGTGGTTTTGATTTGCATTTCTCTAATGGCCAGAGATGATGAGCATTTATTCATATGCTTGTTGGCTGCATAAATGTCTTCTTTTGAGAAGTGTCTGTTCATATCCTTCTCCCACTTTTCAATGGAGTCGGTTTTTTCTTGTAAATTTGTTTAAGTTCTTTATAGATTCTGGATATTAGTCCTTTGTCAGAGGGGTAGATTGCAAAAATTTTTTCCCATTCTGTTGGTTGCTGGTTCACTCTAATAATAGTTTCTTTTGCTGTGCAGAATCTCTGGAGTATAATTAGATCCCATTTGTCTATTTTGGCTTTTGTTGCCACTGCTTTTGGTGTTTTAGTCATGAAGTCCTTGTCCATGCCTATGTCCTGAATGGTATTGTCTAGGTTTTCTTCTAGGGTTTTTAAGGTGTTAGGTCTTATGTTTAGATCTTTAATTCATCTGGAGTTAATTTTTGTATAAGGTGTAAGAAAGGGATCCAGTTTCAGCTCTCTGCGTATGGCTAACCAGTTTTCCCAACACCATTTATGAAATAGGGAATCCTTTCCCCATTGCTTGTTTTTGTCAGGTTTGTCAAAGGTCAGATTGTTGTAGATGTGTGGCATTATTTCTGAGGCCTCTGTTCTGTTCCATTGTGCTATATCTCTGTTTTGGTACCAGTACCATGCTGTTTTGTTACTGTAGCCTTGTACTATAGTTTGAAGTCAGGTAGCATGATGCCTCCAGCTTTTTTTTTTTTTTTTTTTTACTTAGGATTATCTTGGCTATGCAGGCTCTCATTTGGTTTCATATGAAGTTTAAGGTGGTTTTTTCCAATTCTGTGAAGAATGTCAATGGTAGCTCGATGGGGATAGCATTGAATCTATAAATTACTTAGGACAGTATGACAATTTTCACGATATTGATTCTTCCTAATGCTGAGCATGGAATTTTTTTTTCATCTGTTTGTGTCCTCTCTTATTTCCTTGAGCGGTGGTTTGTAGTTCTCCTTGAAGAAGTCCTTCACATCCCTTGTTAGTTGTATTCCTAGGTATTTTATTCTCTTTGTAGTATTCTCTTTGTGAATGGGAGTTCACTCATGATTTGACTCTCTGTTTGTCTGTTACTGGTGTATAGAAATGCTTGTGATTTTTGCACATTTATTTTGTATCCTGAGACTTTGCTGAAGTTGCCTCTCAGCTTAAGGAAATTTTGGGCTGAGACAATGGGCCCTTCTAAATATACAATCATGTCATCTGCAAATAGAGACAATTTGAATTCCTCTTTTCCTAATTGAAGACGCTTTGTTTCTTTTTCTTGCCTGATTGCCGTGACCAGCACTTCCTTAAAGAGAATAAGAAAAGCAACACATCTTCTCTTAGCATATATATACTTATTATATGCCTTAGTTGTCAGAATGAAAAGCTCAGAGTTTATTCTGGATTCTGGATGAAAACTTTTTTTTGTTTTTTTTTAAGACAGAGTTTTATTCTTGTTATCCAGGCTGGAGTGCAATGGCACGATCTTGGCTCACTGCTACCTCTGCCTCCCGGATTCAAGCAATTCTCCTACCTCAGCTTCCCGAGTAGCTGAGATTACAGGCATGTGCCACCACACACAGCTAATTTTTGTATTTTAGTAGAGATGGGGTTTCACCATGTTGGTCAGGTTGGTCTCAAACCCCTGACCTCAGGTGATCCACCCTCCTCAGCTTCCCAAAGCTCTGGGATTACAGGCATGAGCCACTGTGCCTGTCCAAAACGTTTTATATATATTTGGGCATTTACATCCCTAACCATAAATATGCTATGTGCACACTATCAATGCACATGGGTGTGAACACACACACACACACACACATAATTTTATGATAGATGCTGCTGGAAATAGGTTATATAAAATGTGTAGACATGTATCTATAACTGCATAGACAGATAGATATTATGTAGATATAAAAATAGATATTATTATAACTGTTTAAGGTTATATCACATACCAAGTTATTACTGGATGGCAATTGACAAGGATGTCTATATCTGTGTACACAGTGATATCTATGTGTCTATATAAAGTACCTATTTATCTATTGTTTTAATCCATTTCAAAGGCTACATGCACACATAATTGCTCACATGCATGTATATGGCTAGATAATCGTATGACAGATGCCATCTTATTTTTCGATGTTCAATTTTGAGATAGTCTACATAAAATATTTTTATTACTTATCATTCCCAGAATAAATACGCCTAAGTTTTCTGAATTGTGCTTAATGTAACTAAGGGTATAAAGTGAAAGGAAAATAGATAATAATGGAAAAAGCTGTTAAAACAAATAAATAACAACTTCATACAACAACCCAACTGAGTAATAAAAGCATCCCTTCCCTTCTGAAGGAGAGTGAGGTTTATGTAATTCGCCCCAGGTCAATGGATTTCAGGGTTTTATTGGGGGAGAGAAAGCTTATTTAAGGAGTTTCTTTCTTGGTCTGCACATACACAACTTTCTCTGGAATGACATTGCTTCCTCGTGGCCGGACTGTTTTTCAGCTTCTCATAAATGAGTGTCTTTTCTTTTCCCTGGGCTTTTCTTTGTTCTTGTGTCCAAAATCCCATTGCAACTAGCTCTGATCATTGGATCTATGCCATTCCTAACTTTAGTTTCTTCTGCAAAAGGAGATGGTTGGTCAGATAAGTTGGGGGTCCCCTTGGCATATTCTTTCTGTGATTATCCTGCACACTGGGAACTGCAGAGACTTGGAAAGCTTAAGTCTCAGTTCCTCCATTGAAAGGTTTACGGTGCTGTTAGGAGACAGGGGGTGGGGAAGCTACTTGTAGAGGCTAATTAGCAACACAGCATGGTGTATGATGTTTAGGGAAGTGATTCAGAAAGGGATATTGGGAACTCGGAGGAAATCCTCAAGCAAGGCGTCCTGGAAGCAGGAAAGTGGGGATTTTAAGCTAAATTTAGAATTAGAACACAGGTCTCTTGGTTACTGATTCACACTGCCCCCCACATCAGCTTAACATCACCTTTGGGACATGTAGGAACTGATGGAGACATTCTAGGGTGGCTCCGTGGTCATTTCTGTGGCCTCATGGGAGGGTGCCAGGTGCAGAAGCTCTGACTGTTCCTGAGGGTCTTGTCACCTCTCTCCTCCCCTCCCCTTTTCTGAACCTTCTCAGAAAGCCAAGGGAACTGATAGTTACTCCCTACTCCATTCCCTCCAGCTGATGGCTGGGGGAGCCAGCCCTCATGCCAGCTGGGGAATGAGGACAGGGAGTCCCAAGCACTAGCTCCAGCCCTACTGCCAAATTGCTGTGAGGCTTTTGCAAGACACTTCATCCTTCTGGTCCCAAATTTCTTCATATGTGAAATATAAGGGTTGACCTAGAACTAGATGATCCCTTAAGTCCTTCGCCAGCTTAAATTTTTTTAATTCTCTGTCACTTCAGCCCACTCCACTTTCTGTAAGAGAGCTAGCCCTCCCAAGGGAGCCCTACTGTTCCTTCCCCATTAAATCCCATGCAGGGGAGAGCTAAACCAGGAGCCAGTTTCTGCCTGGAGTGAAATTATTGAACCATTAATATAAGGGCAACTGGAGTTTGGACAGAAAACCTCTGATCTGAATCTTAGTATGTTACCAAAAAGTGTTTTAGAACCTTGTCCAGATTTGCCTAAAGTAATAAAATGTGAGAATCAAGGGAGATGGAGCACTAGAAGTGCTTAGTAGTAGTAACAGCAGCAACTGGTAATTTGTTGAGCAATTGTTGTGCGCCAGGTACTGTTCTAAGTGCTTGCATTTCATCTTCACAAATGACGCAGACGTTGTTAGTATAATCCCCACATTACTTTTTATGGATGAGAAAACAAAAGCCCTAAGA